TTAGCTTTAATTTAAGATATAAAAGTGTCAGACTTTCCGGTACACTTTCAAAAGTTAAGTTGAACAAATTAATTTTTTGTGAAAAAGTTGTCATTTTAAATCGCTCACCGGGGGAAGGTAAACGGTCAGATTTAAAAAAAATATATACCAAATGATAGGTAAGAACATTATGTATCTATAAAAAAAATTATATTGATATGTTCATTTTTAGAAAAGTTATGGCAGTTTTTAGTAAAAAAAATTGAAAAAATTTCAAAAATTAGTGATTTTTTAATTTTGTAATTTTTTTGGAGGTTTTTCATTTATGGGGAACGAGGGAAATTTTTTCAATTTTTGAGGGTAATGTCTTCGACTAGATACGATTTGTGATCTTTTGACATATCATTGAAAGAAATCGGTTCGGTGAGAGCTGAGAAAAAGTGATAATAGACACAAAAAAAAACATTTTAGTAAAACCAATACATTCTCAGCTTCACATCGAAGCNATAATAGACACAAAAAAAAACATTTTAGTAAAACCAATACATTCTCAGCTTCACATCGAAGCTAAAAAATTTAAAATTGGTTCAATAATCATATCTGATAGGTGTGACACCTCGCCTAGGTGGAGGTGACCCTTGCTACCAGAGCTAGTCGTTATGCAAGTGGCAAACCATGTTGTTGTTACAGGCCGAATTAAAAAGCCCCCTTGCAACATTACATTTCATTTTTTGTATAATTTATAAAAAGTTAATCGTAGATTATTTCTAACCAAGAACCTTATAATCCATTATTAGATTGTTTTTTTTTCACTGTTGAATTTGAAACACAGTTTCCTGACTGTGTTCCGATTTTTTTTATCTTTCTTACTACGCAACATCCTGTGATAAAATTAACGAAATGACTAAGTTATCTCGTTATTATCGTATTTAAAAATTTTGTATGGTTGTGAAAATAGCTTTTAAAAAAAGAGTAATGGGGAGATTCATTATCATGAATTTATATGGACTGGAACTCATGGATCCCCTGCTAATATGTTATTTTATAATTTAGATGCGAATCAACATGTGTGATAACACGAATAAAAAACTTGTGTACTTGTCACAGATTAGTATGGGTTAATCTCCTCAATACTTTTTATTTTAAAATCTTCACCTCTATATGAAATGTAATAAATTACAAAGACGAGCTAACTTAACAAACTCGTTATAATTACCACAACGCGATCACGTATTTAAAAAGGCCAAAAATAAAAAAAAAAAAACCCAGCACAGTGGGGTCGCGGCATAGTGGGGATGTTGCATAGTTGGGTCCAGTATAGATTTAATCTGACAGTGATTAAAATCACTATCATAAGAAACGCTTCGATGCAAATCAGTAGATAGTGTTTAATTCTAAGAAATTGGTGGATAATTACAAAAGCTACATTATCTGCTAGTTTCTTATTAATACCCTGATTAAGATAAAGTATGTCGAATGAAAAAGGGATTATTAAAAAATATTATTTCTCATAAAAAAATTGTGTTGATTCGTACACTTTTCAATGAGTTATAGCATTATAAAGTTAAAAATGTAACCAACCCAACCCAACATCAACTCCTATTTCCTTAATTATATCCAGATTAGTAATTATTTTAATTATATATTATATAATTTTTATAATTAATTATTTTCAAATTATTATTGATTTTTAATATGTTAAAAGTAATCATTTTGAACCTACTTCTTTTTGTTCTTTAAAGTGAAAGTTTTAATAAAAAAAAAATGAATTTATTACCATAACTTTTAACTCAACTTGCAAGTTTGAAATAAATATTATTAAATAGAAAAAAATGAAATTGGTAGATTATTTCAAAAACAACAATAACACTTATTCCCTTAATTTTACCCCGATTTATAACTATAATATATGAATACATAATAATTACAGTAATTAAATTGAGTATGAAAGTGGTATTCAATAATATAATATTGTAATTTTTACGGAGATATTATAAAAATAAAAAGGAGTTGTATATTCATATACTTTTAATGCGTATACAAATTTAAAGGAATTTATGCAATACTTTTTAATAAAAAAATTTTGTTACTTATGAATAAATACACTAAACAAAAGGAACTTTCATCAGAAAAAAAATATACTTTTCTAAATAAACTTTTCGTGATGTTTTCAAATGTGCAATTAAACTTTTTCTATTACTTCTAAGTTTTAATATTATTACTTATTATTAAAAAATAAGTATTTACATATAAAAAAAAATAATTAAGAACAAAAAAAATTGTATTAAATTAATACTGATTTTGATTTTTAATATGTTAAAGGTAATCATTTTGAACCTATTTTTTATTGTCTTTTAAAGTGAAAGTTTTAATGAAAAATACCTTCTCAGCTTCGCATCGAAGCTAAAAAATGAATTTGTTACCATAACTTATAGTTCAACTTGCAAGTTTGAAATTGACATTATTAAATTGAAAAAAATGAAATTTTTAAGATTAATATGCAATCTGGAAATTTTATAATTACTAATTACAGTACATTTGTCAGAAAAATTCGATTTTTTTACATTTTTATCGTAATAGATAACTGAAATAGAAAGAATAGTAATCATATCCTAATAACTTTTGGTGTTTAAAAAAATTCTGCAATTGAAATATTCAGAACTTAATTAATTTTAATAATTTACTTTAATTAAATGAACCAATCAAACCAAAGTAGTTAAAAAGATTTACTCAATTGAGCATATTATCAAAAATATAATTATAATTGTAAAACTCCATCGTTAACTTCAGGTGAAACTAAAAATCATTTTTTTTTTAAATTTATGATTTATATAGCAAAATATTACTAAAAAATTTGGCATATTATAGACTGGTAGTAGCACACAGAAATAGAGTTAAAAAATTAATAAATTATAAAGTAAAATTATTTACTTTTGTAGTTGAATACTTTTATCATATCAAATTTAATTCGACAATAAATAATTTAAGAATATTAAAAATTAATGATTTTAATTGTTTGTATGGACAAATCTAGTTAAGCTACTTTTTATTTGAATAAGGAATATTTTTTTGATTTTTAAGAGTAATAACTTAAACTAATCATTAACTTAAATATCATAAACTTAAATGAATCATTTGACGTATCGTTGAAAAAAGTAGGTCTAGTGAGGGTTGGCAAAATAAATCGTAGCCAGAAAAAGAACCACATAGTAAAATAATATTAACATGAATATCAATTTCTTCTCACGAGGGGAGACTATAGTGATAAGATCCTTTATATTTATTGAAATTATTGAATCTAAATGAGATAAATATCAAATGATTTGAAAATTCTATTCTAACTCAAAAAAAAAATGCAAAATTTTAGAAGCCACAAACGGATTTGAACCTCGTACCCTAGGCGTTAAAGATCAAGGTGTTACCCATTCGGCAACTATTCGTTGATTTTTGTTGCATGATAAAATTGGCTATTTAAGCTAACTCAAATTTAAAAATTACTTTTTCGACTTTAAAAAAGTAAAAAATGTTAATAAGTATAATATCATATGTCTTATGAACTTTATTCTATGTCAATGAAATTATATAATATTCATGAAAGTCAGTTTATTCCCCTAATAAAATATTTTAAAATAAAATAAAATACAAAACCTAGAATTTTAATAAAAAATAGCATATTTTTAAATACGGTAGCCTTTTGCGCATAGAAGATAGGTCGTCGGGACAAATTTTTTTTTTTCATTTAGTAGTACATAAAATAAGCTTTAATTTGATATATGTTTAAAGGACGCAGTATTTCCGGAACATTTTCAAAAATTAAGTTGAAAAAGTTAGTTTTTGTAAAAAAGTTGCTATTTTAAATCCCCCCTGTGAGCAGAATAAGTGTTAGATTTTCAAAAAAAAATGATATCAAATGAAAGAAAATTACCTAAGGTTTCAATATAAAGAAATATTATTTTGATTAGTTAATATTTGAAAAAGTTATGGCAGTTTTAAGTACAAAAAACATCGTTATAAAAGGTGATTTTTATCGCAAATATTACATTTTTTTTATAATTTCGACAGCCATTTGCACATAGAAGATAAGGTGTCGGGACAAATTTTTTTTTTTCATTTTATAGTACATAAAAAAAGCTTTAATTTGATATATGTTTAAAGGACGCAGTATTTCCGGAACATTTTCAAAAGTTCAGTTGAAAAAGTTCTATTTTTTATACAATGTTTCAAAGTTTGAACCCCCCCTATATAAGGGGAAATTGTCTAATTTTAATAAAAAGTATGTCAAATGGAAGATGTACTTATAATGTATTTAGAAAAAAAAAAATTGTGCTGATACATGCATTTTTCGAAAAGTTATAGCATTTTTAAGTTGAAAATTAAAAATTGAAAATCGAAAATTTTAACACAAAAATAGTGTTTTTTTAACTACGGCAACCGTTTACATGCAGAAGATAAAGTGTCGGGACAAATTTTTTTTTTTCATTTTATAGTACATAAAATAAGCTTTAATTTGATATATGTTTAAAGGACGCAGTATTTCCGGAACATTTTCAAAAATTAAGTTGAAAAAGTTAGTTTTTGTAAAAAAGTTGCAATTTTAAATCCCCCCCCATGAGCAGGTTAAGTGTTAAATTTTCAAAAAAATTATATCAAATGAAAGGAAAATATCTAAGGTTTTAGTTTAAAAAAAAATTATGTTGATTTGTTGATTTTTGAAAAAGTTATGGAAGTTTTAAGAAAAAAAAGTGAAAAAAATGACAAAATTTGTCGATTTTTAAATTTGTAATTTTTTTGGATATTTCCCCCATTTGCGGGGAACGAGGGAAAATTTTTAAATTTTTAAGGGTAATGTCTTCAACTAGATACAATTTGTGATCTTTTGACGTATTGTTAAAAGAAATCGGTCCAGTGAGAGCTGAGAAAAAGTAGTGACAGACACAAAAAAAAAAATAAAAAAATAAAAAAATAAAAAATAAACACATCATGGTAAAATTAATACCTTCTCAGCTTCGCATCGAAGCTAAAAGAATAGCTATTCGACAAACACAAACGTTTTCATAGAACATTTTAAGATGTCAAGTTGGTTTTATTTATATAACTTCAATAAATAGTGATAGGTATTTAAAAAATAATTAATGTTATACATTAGAGTTATTTTTCTGTACAATTTATAAATTATACAGAAAATCAATCAATAAACATTTACAAATAATATATATATATATATATATATATATATATATATATATA